CGATGTTCTGATTATGAGACTGTTACTTCTTGACGAAGGCTATGTCTAAAATATCCCTAGTCGCACTTTATGATAATACGGACATCATAACGTATCAAGACTAGTACGTACGAGATGAGATAGTTGCGTCTCATAGACTATAGGTATTGTGATATCTTAATCTGTACGTAGGTGCATATTATATCGATAATATGTGACTAGATTGACCCATCTTGAGAATACTGCATGGATCTACAGTAATGTGTTCATAAGTATTCTCAATTCGACCTTGCTATAACTATCCTTAGACTTGAAGTTATTACATTCTCTGATATGTGGGGCCGTATACTTTGATTCACAACTAATTCTATCTGAAATACTGGTAGACGTACAGTTATGCGTTGGGTATATCGCTAAGCATATTAGGAGATGTGAATAACAGATACAGGATCTGTCCCTTCTACTGTATAGAAGTATAATGTCAATGGGCCCACTGAATAGTAGGACTTGGGAAAGTGCATGGCCATGCCCAGATATGTCGCTATCCAGAGACTGATAAATATCTGATCCCTACCAGTCTACTTGAGATTCAGTAACAGCTGATTTAACTATACAAGGATACACATCCCATGCCTTGGGTTAAATCATGACATTTAGGACAGAAGGATAATAGTTATAGAACGTCTTGTGTCGTAGAAGGTATTGATGAGATGAACGTCTTTTTCATAATCTGGGGGTAATAATGTGTTGCTAGATACTGCTTATTATCTATGGTATTAATTTTATTAATATCATTGCCAGTATTATGGATACCTAAAGGGTCACACACTTAGAACTTGTAAGGGAGTAGTATACTACACCAGTGGGAGTAATATTAAATATATAGTTGTGATAATTTTATACATATATATGTATTTCGAAAATACATATGTATTTTAAAATTATATTTTGTCTGTGTCATTTTAATTATATGATAATTATATTTTGACAAAACAAATTTTATTATATATATATATATATATATATATATATATTATAAAGAGGATTTTATTAATAATAAAAGTAAAAAGAAGTACAAGAAGGGGGTGGCCTATCCCCATCAATATAGCCAAACTCCAAGAACAAAAGGACCCAAATAAACCATGAAACAATTTAAATATGGGTAGATTAAGAAGGGCAGGCCATGGGACCAAGCATTAAGCCCTACGCAAAAATCCAGAAGGACTGAACGAATAAATCCAGCCATAACCAGCGAACCAATTATCCAGGACAGGTGCACCTAGTACAATCTACCAGGCAGTAGACCAAACGAATAAAACATGAGGGCAAAGACATCAGTCTAAAATCCAGTCATAATCTGGACAACAGAGCTGGTTAAGAACAAGTGACCAAGAAAAACCAAGAGACCAAGCTCAGATGAACAAAAGTCACTGAAATACCCACAACCAAAGGCAGGCCCAAACGTTACTAAACCTTAAAGCAGTAGAGGAAAAACCCAAATCTGGTGGAGAGAAATGAAGAAACATCCCTCTTAAGCTCTTAGACAATAGAGAAAAAAGCAGGAATATAATGCCTAAAATTCCTGTAAAAAAGCTCCGCAGAAAGAATGTATAACCCTTGAGTCTTCGTTTGCATAAATGAGATAAACCGGGTATTTAGTACCCTTGATGTTGACAGAATCAACAACCTCGATGCTTTTAGCCACATGTCTTGTCATCCTGAAGGCTTTACCCTTACCATTTTTCAAAATCCCCTTTTGCAGCTTGTCACGAACCAGCCCTATAGTCAATGCTTCCCTAATATAGCAAGAGGTTTCCTTGAAGTAAGACTCAAAGTGTTCTGTGAATAGGGGCTCTAGAAGTTTGAATTCCTCTTCAAAATCTCCCTTGCAACATAATTCTAAAACCTTTTCTTTGCTGCATAGATCAAGGATGTCTATTTGAAAAAGTAAGCCTGGAATGGACGAAGTGCAATCCTCCTGCACAACAGAGCAGATATCAAGGGCATCAACTAATGGGTCTTGCCACCCAGCAGAAACTGGGTCCTCACTTCTACCATGGGTCACTCCACTATCCGGGGGGAGTGTTGTGATTCTTGGAACCTCAGAATCTTCGATATGGGCCGGACTTGCAGTGGCTAAGGGAAGCTCTGATTGTGCAATAGGGGCAAAAGAATTCATTTCTTCCAGAGACCTAGAAAGGGCTTTGATAAAGCACTTTAAACCATTCTTATCTGCACCTAGTGGGACACATATTGTTGATCTAGAGCCCTCAAATACAGAGATAAGCTTCACAAAATCCCCAAAATAATTCGAATCCCAAGAGATGTTAATAG